TGGCATAATTCCATGGCAGTGTCAGCATGGCAGTGTATATAGTTTTGCCTATTTGTCACATTTTAATCTACTCTAACTCTACGAAAATTACAAAAATTCAGCATTAAACTGGCAAAATACTGTGCTGTACTGAGTTGTTTGGTGCTAGTCTAGGTTTTAATTTATGCATTTGAGGAAAAATGAGCTTTAAACATATCGGCATAGTAATATTTATTTATTTGTCTATTTGCTAGTAGCTTCTTAAACAGTTAATCATGTAATCTCATACTTTCTGCATAAGGGAGGAGCCAGTGGACCTAGAGTATTTGTCTAGGTAGACACAACTGAGCACATTTTTTAAGAGAAGAAAGGACTGCCACTTAGATGTATTCAAGGAGTGACTTCCTGAACAAATATAACTTTAAATAAAGGTATATTTTTATCTTCTCTGTTTTTAAACTGGGAAACATTTTACATCAAACACAGGATAAACAAAGCAAACAGATCCTTCCTCCAGCTGCATTAAATCTAGCTGCATTATACCAGGCATTTCATACTGAAAGGTATGTGATGGTTTTTTCCTCTCAGAAAAAACCATCATATTTTCATATAAAAACCATTTATATTTTCAGTCTATCTGTTAGCACAGCATCTGATGATGTATACTTATATTTGACTTTCACAATCCAGTCTTAACTTTGAAGTTCCAACTCCTGGTCTGCTTGGGATGTTGTTGGACTATTTATTTACATTCAACTTGTTGTTTATAACCTGTCACAGCCAGCTGCCTGACATCCTATTGCCTTGAGAGTCTCAACTTTAGCAGAGAATTAGAGCTCTCCTCCGTTTCCATGTGAGCTCTCCTCCATTTCCATGTGAACTCATTGCAAGATACTGGGAATGTAAATTATTATAAAGTAGGAATCTGAAAATCCTCAGCATAACACATCATACACATATTCAAGAGCCAATGAAGGAACTAGCCAGGAGTTCTATGGCAAAAGACAAAAAAAGCCCGAAACAAACAAACAAACAAACAAACAAACAAACAAACAAACAAAAACTACCCAACTATTATTTCCTCACCTCCTTTTTAAAAAAAACTTCATGCCTAGAAGAGCTAAGATTAAGAAAACAGAAAATATGGTCATCAATGCCCCTGTCATGGAAGATACTTTTCATCTTCTCTTTTGTCTTCTGATATGAACTGAACTCATACAAAATTTTTAGAAGATTTGTTTGATTTCCCAATCAAACGGGTCACATTAGATAGCTTAAGAACTAGCTAAAGCCAGATTTGTCTTAAAGAGTTGTAGCTCCTGTTTTGACCACTTGCATTAAGACTTCATTTCTTACTCAAGTCCAACGTGCATTAGCCTCCAGTATTGTGATCTTATATTTGGAAATCCTTGCAGACTTCTCCTTCAACAGCAACAGAATTGAGGAATTCAGTATAAACATTACAAACAGTTAATTAAGAAGTTTGCGGCACTTCTTGCATGCTGAGTGGCTGAGGTCTCTTATTCTTCATACATTTTCCCTCCTGACATAACTTTTACTTGTTTTATCACCATGACAGTAAATTCAGAGGATGCTCGATCAGTAGATCTGGGACTATATTCTGAAAATGAGGACAGAGGTTTTTATACAGAAAATTTTCATTCTGCTTCCTGGGTTTTCAGAGGAGATGATGTCTCTCCAGATAACAGTCCTAGATGTCTCAGCAAAAGACCTAGACCAGTGGCAAGTAAGTTGGCTAGAGCAACAGGTAATAAATGTCATAAAATTTTATTAATTTTGGGCACTCTGAGGATTTCAGGGGAACAACATATTGGAGTAGGTGCTGGTCTCTTATGCTAAAGAAAGGAAAGGGAGCAACCCAAGAATCTAAAAGCTTATTTAAAAAATAAACAATTCTTATTTATTTGCAAATTAGAGGCAATGTAATTCCATGACTTCTTCAAGCTTGCCAAAATCTTAGAGATATTTATGGTCATAAAGTATTATAATGGACATAAAACCTGGTTTACATCAAACTTTCAGGCATAATTGATCCAGGAAGAAATTAATCATTTGCTAGGAGTATGGAGGATTGTTCTATTTGTAGTTTAAATCTGTGCAAACAGATATAGTGAACAACTTTTTCTTTTGGAGGGGAGGTTTTCCTTCACTTCTCAGATGTTAAGTTACTCAAAAGTAACACAGTTCAAAGAACTAAGACAAGCTGAAACACCCCTATAGCTTTCCAGGAAATTGTCCTTTGTTGGAGCTCATAAATAATTCAGAATATGAGAGAAAACAAATGTCCACTATAAATCTTCTGGTATGAAAAATTTTCCTTAACACAGATGAGAATATTCTGGAAAACCATTTTGGTTGCTTCTTCTCCCAGGGGAGAGCTCAGAACTTCAGCATGATTGTTAAAGTCAGTATTGAAGTATCTATTTTGGACAGATAACATCAATTGGCCTGATATTAAAGTAATCTTGAATCTTGACATTTCTGTCTTCTGCATAGTACACAATTTGAAGACAAAACAGCTGTCATAAATTACTATTGAATTGGCCTCCATTAAGAAAAAATACATAGTAAGGTAGTTAAATGATCAAAATCTGACACTCCAAGAAATCAAATTTACACTGAAATCATTCTTAAGTATATTTGCTAAAGAACCAGGCCATTTAAGTCAGAATAATAATACTAATAGACCCTGAGAAAAAGATGGAAGTAAGCAATTAGACCCTGATCTTCCTTTTTATGGAAGTTGATCCCTTTAAGTGTTAAATTCTGATGAGTTGAAAGATATTTCAGCTCCCCTTGGCAGCAGATGCCACTGTGGGTGGGGAGGTCAAACTACAGGACTGGAAGGCATTCTGAGAGTGTGGAGTGGATGGATAAACAAAAGGAGAAGAAACAACTATCCAAAAGATAGAGCCTTATGAAATATAAAAAGAATGAAACTACAAGCAACAAATTTAAACTCATTTGAGAAATTAGAGTGTATTTTGTATTTGCAGAATAGAGGTTTGACACAGAGGGCATGAGTGTTTTTCTCTCCTAAAACACCATCAGTAGAGTGGAATACCTGAATACTTCAGCCTACATTACAAAGTCCAGGCATTTAATTTAAATTGCTGTCTGCCTGTGCCCTGACATGAATGATACTTGATTTGTTGTGGTGTGAGGGGTATCACCCGCCTGAGGACCAGCACTAAACAGCCAGGAGTGATAGTGAAAGCACCCCAACTATTTATAAAATCAGTAACGCTCAGTACCTACAAAAAGTTTTAAAAACAGACTGCTGCTTATTAAATTGAATGTTTAAAGAAAAAAGGTATCTTTCTTCCTATCTCCAGTTCGAGAAAGAACAGTGAAGATTGCTAAAGGAACTGGCAATTACCCTTGGGGTTTCAGGATCCAGTTCTCAAAGCCTATCCTTGTGACTGAAGTTGACACAAGTAAGTTGTGTTAGTACTGGTTAATTTCGCCTGTGGAAATATATAAAAATTAAATACATAATATTATATACACTGATATAATTATATGATATATATCTACATGATATAATATGATCTACATAGTACAGAACATCTGTTTTATATTAATTTATAATATTGATGTACACAATAATTTCCTTAATTAGTGGAAAGATGTTTGAGAGCAAGAACTGCTCATGGGCAACTGTCTTAGAGCCCCTCTATCCCTAGTAGTAAATCAGACTCCACTGCCCTGTCTTCTTCCATGTCAGTTCATACCTTGTGCAAGTGCCTGCATTTTGCTTCCCTCAAGATGTAAAGTCTAAAACTTTTGTGGGCTGACATCAATGAATGACAATAGGCCATTAAAAATTAAAATGAGGATGCAGTGATCCTTCTAATATTTCCAAAAATCTTATTGGCTAGGGACACTTCCACTTGGATCCATCGAGCCATCTGTCAGTCTTGACAGGTGGACTGTTAACTTCTTCTGGTAATTATGATGATTGTAAGAAACCCCAAAAGAAACTCCAAAACCCAAGTGAGTGAGCAAAGAATGGCAGATAATTTTCAGAGAAGATGAAATGTAAGGATACTGCTTCTAGAGAAGAATGAGCTAGCTGTACCATGCCTTAATAATGGTGTTGGCACTATCGCTCAGGAATGAGATCTTGGAAGTCACCACTGAAAAGTCTCTGAAATCATTGGCTCTGTGCATAATGTCAACTTAGAAATCTGGCTAAAAGTTGACTCAGTCAGTAACAGCAGAGAGAATGAGACGCAGGCACTCTGTCATTTTGCTGCTGCCTAAGACCTTTCCAAATCGAGAGTACTGCTTGCTCTACTGCTCTGCATCTCAGGACAGGCACAGTAGAATTAGGAGAAGAGCAGAAGGTACAAGAGACTATGATAGATTCTTACTAAAAATAGCAGATACTATGCAAAATGTCATCCCGTACAGAGAAAGCTAGTGCATGCCTTCTGGCATCTGAGAATAGTTCTGTCACTATTACCAGCCTTATGTATTAGATTGTCCATTATCCTGACAACACTGAGAAAGCCTGTGAATTCAGGAGCATGTGAGTTCATAAGTTCTTTACCTAAGTACAAATAAAATCATACATCATGCATACAATAGCTCTGACACTTACCAATTTATCCCTACCACTTAAAATTAAGTACAGCAACTCACATTTTATATCACACTTTTATTTGTATGTTGTTTTCAAACACAGTTGCTTTAAAACAGTGACAACATTAAAAAATAAGGTTTTTCAGATGAGCTTGTAGTAAAATTATATTTTCTCAAAATATAACTTATTTCATTGGGAAGAAATTCTTCCCTGTGAGAGTGGTGAGACACTCAGACATCTTGCCCAGAGAGGCTGTGGATGCCCCATCCCTTCAAAAGTTCAAGGCAGGGTTGAATGGAACTTTGAGCAACCTGGTCTAGTGGAAGGGGATTGGAACTAGATGGTCTCTTTCAGCTGAAATCATTCTATGATTCTATAATGAATATTTTAATAATATTTTTATAGCCCACCTATGGTCGTAAAGTCTGGTATGGCATGCTCAAGGCCAGCACAACCCAAAATGTTCTGATATTTACGAATTCTTTTTAATACACATGAGGGTGGACTGGGGTTTTATTGTGCCTGTTTATTATTAAGCTTTTACTAATCTTATCCCTACAGTTTCTAAACATTCTCAGAAATACACTGAAGGATCACATTTACTGCATCATAGGGTGCAAAATCTTTAAAAGCATACAGTAAATGTTAAGGACATTAAATAATATTTTCCAAAACTATTATTTTACAGTACATTCAGAATGCTTATTTATAAATGAGAAGATAAATACTGTATTTGAGAAATTTGTAACTGGGATTTAAGTAACTGTGTATTGGTGCCCATGAATAGAGTATATTTATCACCTCCCTAGTTTGTTTCCATTCCTGGTTTGCATGTGTCTGAGCAGTGTTTGATTAGGAATGCATGTGTTTTGCAATGGTTAACAAATAAACAAAAGGTGAGGCATTAAAAATCTGATTCAGTTCTTCCTTCACTGGTGCCTTTTTAACTTACCATGTAATTTCTTCCTAAAGCCAAAAATTCTCAAAATGCTATATCCGAATTCTATTAACCAGCAAAGATAAATATCAATACAGAAGGTACTCTTTTGGGGTTAAATTCAAAGTTTATCAGAATAATAGATATTTTTTTCTACTGACTCTACTGAGCTTTGCATCAGATCTTTCTTTGCACTTCAGGCCAAAAAACTCTCAGATACTGAAATGTCTATTTGAATCTTAAAGCATTTAAATCCTAATGGCATTTTAAATGGAATTTCTCCATTGCCAGTGATTATCTAGGGTTGCATCCATATCCAAATCCTGAAGCTTCCTTAACAGATGAGTAACAGGTTGGTGAGTAAAACTTGTTTCACCTCCAAGTTGACATCATGAAGGCCCTAAAACATAATTCTTGATTGGTTGAACAGATACTTGTTTTGCTAAAAAAGTGTGATCATATAGACACGCTTGATATCTTAGCAGTAAATAAATTTTTGTGTTTGATTTTTGGTTTTGGTGGTTTTCTTTTGTTTGTTTTTGGTTTCATTTCTTTCTCTTTTTGTCTTTTTTTTTTCTTTTTTTCTTTCTTTTCTCTTTTTCCCTTTTTCTTATTCTCTTTTTCTTTTTCTCTTTTCTATTTTGTTTATCTTTTTCTTCCAGATAGTGCAGCTGAGGAAGCAGGGCTTCAGGTTGGGGATATTCTGATAGCAGTAAATGGAACTGATGTCACCAGCATGCCACATTCAGAAGCTGCAAATCTGGCAAGGAAAGGTAATTCTGAATCACAATAAATTAAATTAATGGGTCAGGTTTTCTGTTGAATGCTCCAAGTTCATCCAGAGAAATGGGGTGATATATGCAACTGAAATCTCAATTAATAGTTTAATCCCTTACTATTTCATACAGTGGTATTGCCGTGGTAACTTTTTTATCTAGACCTTGTTTTTTAGACATTTTAGAAAATTAGTCCCCAAAGAGCATGTAACTGTAATGGTTTTGGCTTTCCTCTTACAAAGAAAGTGACTCAGAAAGCCCTTAAAGTGACTAGAGAGACACAAATGCCTTATTTATGCCTTATACTTCCTCAGGGAAAGACTTCACACCTTCCTTCTGTTTCTCTGTTTCCAAGATCTGAAGTCTAGTCAGGAGATAGGAGAGTTTATTTCATGAGGCATTCTTTTGTAGCACCACAGAGACAGTCAGGGATATTAGTCCAGTATATCCTTCCCAGAATTGTGATGACTAAAACCCAAAGATAGCCATATTTACATGGGGAAAATTAGTTTACTGCTATTCCCATATTGATCCCAGATAAATTTTTGACAAAGGATCATGGGAAATTCAATAAATTAAAATACTTTTACAAGGCAATGTCAAATTTGACTTGACACATACTGTATTATTTAACTATAGAACTGCCATTCACACTGTTTAAGAGAATATTGAGTGTTTTAGCAGATAAATCTGTGATTACTGGTATTTTCAACTCCTCAGAGAACACCCCCTGGACTGAATCTTGGCACATCAACAACATTCCCAAAATCAAGTGTCCCCCAAAAAGAAACCCAGCAAATGTTTTGCAGATGAAATTGTGTCACAGTCACATTTCTCAATCTTCCTTCAGGCATTACCACCTGCTCTTTAGTGTTGATACAATCAGAATTTCAGGCCTTTAGGGTCAAAATCATAGATATATTGATACTGTCAGCACATATTGTGATGTTGCATCTCATTGATGATGAAGATAACATTTTTTCTTTAATCTTGCAAGCCATAATCTCTTCTGAGTCCTTACATTTTGCAAATGATAACTAGAAGCTTTAACACAGGTTTGCTTCCAGCAGCCATCTTCCTCAGTGAGGGGCACAGAAAAAAATTACCATACTCCAAGGCATGGAAAATGAAGAATTCTCAAGAGCATATGTAAAATGACATTGACTGAAGGTGCCCCTAAGAGCATTTTCAGCAATTTTTTGTTAAACCTCAATTTATGTACACCCATTTGAGCAATGAAATTACTCAAATTACTTCTCCTAACTGATAAAATAGACAAGTACCAAAGATGCTGCTGGCAAAGATAGGTCACAAAAATTTTTTTAGATGTGTCTTCAGATAGCTGGCTCCATTACTAGTTCTCAACACAAAATTAGTTCCATTGCTGAATTTGTGTTAAAAGAAGGCCAAATATCACTTGATTTAATATGCTTTGTCAGCTGCTCTGCTTCCTTTTACTTCTAGAAGCTACACTGGGAGGACATGGGCATGGTATAGAACACCGCCTTCCTTCTCCCTACCCTAGATGGGTATTCAGAAATACTGACACATTTATAGTTTTGACTTATGTTTTCACATGTAATATTTTAGGTCCTGATATCCTGACGATGATAGTGGGATCAGACATCAGCCGTTACCCCAACACCCCCAAACCTACCTGCCGAGGATATCTGCACAAACGAACACAATCAGGAATACTGAAGGGCTGGAGAAAGAGGTGGTTTGTGCTGAAACACAGTGGTTACCTACACTATTACAAACACAAGAAGGTAAGGAGAGTGGCTGGTGAGAAGTCATAATTCAGGAGTGTGTCCTGAATTATGGAGTGTAGCAGTTCTGCACTCAAATTTGCAGATCATTATCTTGACTTATGGTATTTGCAGCATAACATCAATGCTACAGGATTTTGCATGAAGTGTACAAAGGAGGCTTGTTGAATGTTCTTCTACAGTTCTCTATGCACCTTACATTTCCAGCAGAATAGCTGGTAGTCTTGTTTCTCTGCATCTCTCATGGTAGACACATGAGCCATCTAATCAGGAATATGCTGCAGAACCACTGGGTATGCAACAAAAGAGTCTGGCGAGTGCTTTATTTCAGCACTAGCTATTCTGGTGTCAAAACAAAACCAAGTAAAAAATTTCACACTAAAAAGATGCAAACATGTAGGAAACATTCTTTTGGAGAGATTTCATTTTATCATAACCAGATCCATCATCAAACTCTTGCAATGTAAAAATGCATATCTAGTTATACTTTAAACACTTTCCAGTTTTTGATCAATTAAATATCACAGAGTGTTAGATAAATTGGAGTGAGGATTAGAAGGTGCCCCATAATCTTACATTCTCTAAGATTTAATTACAATTTCACTTCTTCCTTTCAACTAGTAGAATTAAATTTCTTTTATTTCATTTGTTCCTCAACTACCTTATTTGTTGCACTAGGAAAATAAATATTTCAATCATGCAAACTCTGTGCATTTGCTTTTTCTTAAAAAGAGTAAATACATTTAAAGCATTGCATAAATATTTTATAGAAATAGCTAACTACTGCTTATTTTCTTGCATTATCCAAGACTAGCGCCCTTCAATTACTTTTTAAATTATTTCATGCTGATTTTCTGCTCTCTGTCCCTGGACTCCAAAGAATACATTTCAGAATACTGAAATATTGAGGTGCTATTTTAGCAGATGAACACACAAGGATTTTCTTTACTGCCTCATGTGCTTACAGAGTACTCTGAAGAATCATTTAGTAAGAGAGAGAGGGAGCAAGATAGTTAAAACAAATACAGTTCTTCACTACTGAGAGAACCTAATGCCCAAATGAAATAAGAGGGATGTCAAATGTATTTGTTGGCACTTCTTTCTTTTGGTATGATTTCTCTCAGGATCTAAAAAGAGGACTGCTCATCCCACTTTTTTTTCTACAGGAATTACAAACAATATTTTTCGTTTAACGCAACTTTTTATGTTTTATGCCAGCTGCATGATTAAATTGGCAATATTATGTTCCTGATCTTGCCTCAATCTGGAGGAAAAAAAATTTTCACTTACTGTATCTAGGAAGTTCTTTGAAATAGTTAATTAAAGGCAAGAATAATTCAGGAATTTAAAAAAAAAATCAGGAAAAGCTGGCACTATCCAGCAAAATAGCCAGGATATTCAATTTACTCATCTTCATTCTGTTGTTAAGAACATCAGCTTACATTGCTGTATTTCCAGTGACTCCAGCAAGGCCATGCCTGTTTCCAGTTGTGTAAGAAGACAACTTTTATATAAGCCTGAAATGCAGAATATAATGTTTTGTAGTGGAGAAAGAAGAGGGTGATTAATCTCTGCTTGCTCTAAAGGAGCAACATTTGCTCCTCTAAAAGTACCATTCGCTGCTCATCACAGTAAAGGGGCTGCAAAGTAACCACAAAATGTTTGTAGTGAAGTATAGGACAAATAAGTCTTAATCAGCTTTACATGAGACCAATAAGATAGAAAAAACGATCTACCTCACAGCAGCAGAGCATCACTTCAACCTGTTAAATCTCTAAACTGCCATCAGCAAGTCACTTTTAGAACATGACAGCTAACTTGAAAACCTTAAAATTGGTTGCAGTCTTCAGGATAAAAAAAATACTGGTCTTGTGACTTTATTAAAGAAAAGAAATATAATTTCCAGGACTCAGGAACAAATGGGCCATTAAGGGGTTTAAAGACTGTGGAGCATGCATTCATTTATCATGGGGAAATACCTGCTAGAGTGCTAACAGTGTTTGAGGCTTAATAGGAAAACACAAGGATTAAAAAGGCATTATAGTCAAAAATTAGTTTCCTAAAATTCCTCATTACAAATATCCATCATGTAAGGTGTTCAACAAATTTAATACTGGCTTTTACAAAACCACTAAGTGAAAGTGCCAGTGAAAGCCAGAATTTCCTAAAAAACATTTATAACAAGCTCCTATCTGGTTTTTATCTTGCAGTGTTTCTAGGAATTGTTTTCAGCCCTTTGGACATAAGTAGACCCTGGTAAAGAGGATAGCAAGACAGATAACTAATTTAGCTCCTGAAAGGTAATGAAGAAATAAATATCATTGTGGTTATCATCTAGGAGAAACTCTAAAGAGGCCTGTCTCCAACAGGAAAGAGTTATTAACGTATCTCCATGCAAACTTCCTTTCCAGATGTCAGAGACTGATTAATTCTAGTCAAACCAGCTCTATCAGGTCCTTGTATTACTTTTATAATTTATTCCATTTCACTGTCCAATTCCCTCAGCTAAGAATGATGTAGAACTATAGTAGTTAGAAATAAAGATCTAAAGAGTATGGGTTTGTTGCCAGCATTTTGTATGGACTCCAAGTAGGAAAGTCAAAAGAAGAAGCTGTGATAGCAAAGAAGTAGGAGCAGTTACGTTGGAAGGAATAGTCAAGTTGGAAACTATTGCCCTGACAATAGAAAATAGCATGCTTTAGAGAATCAGCTGTAGTGAGAGACTGAACTGTGAATAAAGAGAAAATCGACTTTCCTGTGTAGCCCCAAGTCTCAGAGAAATGGCCTTCATGACAGTTCATGCTGGTAATGCTCTGAAACTACAACATACGCTTTTGAAAAGCACTCTTCCTGTGGCAGCATTGAAGGACAGGAATGTGGTTTTTTGTAATCATATATAATAATGTCACTTTTAAAAAGAGAATTATGATTTGCATTTCTTAAGCTCCCAAGTTTAATGCCTCTAGGAAGCCCTTAGGCATATTGTGGGTGACTAAGACAAAGCATCTCAAAGCTGAGGGCAGGTCAGTGAGAACAAAGACATGCATTTCTTATCATCCAAAACAATTACACTCCAATCTGGTAAAAAGCTATTACATCACTTAAATCACTAGGTGTTAGGTGATATCCCTGTCTCCATTAGAATAGAATAGTGAAGGAAAAAAATGCTTTTAAATTATTTTCATTTCTGTGGTATATGGAGTCCAGTTTTTACACCAAGAAAGAAATCCCCTGCGTGCCATATGCAGAGCCTTCAGAGCATTTCAATCTATGGCAAATATTCAGTCCTTTGTTCTCTTGAACAAGCCTGTGTGTTCATTGCTAAGCCTAATCACTTTATATAAATGGCTTAGCTAGAAATAGATTTAGATCTAAGCCATTGCTCATAGAGGCATCACTGCTATTTGTTCTTCATTCTTGCTTGGAGCTGTATCACCATACTCTGGAAGCTGCCACTTTATATAGAGCCTGTGTATAATCTGATTTCTTAATGTTTACCATGACTCCCATGGCTCTAGAATGTATTTTTCAGCTGACCTTTAAGAACCTGCTGAATCCATTGACTCCAATACATCCTCTGTATTATTTCTGTTGAGAAATGAGAAATAATGCTAGCTGATGATATATGTGTTAATTTGGGCTTAAAAGATTGCATACCCTGACCCAGAGAAAGTCATACACAGATACATTATTTGATCTGACTCAAGTTGTTGAAAATTTTAACTGAATATTTCTTTCTGTGAGACTTGATCTTGCAAACTGTTCATTACCTTTTGTGGAATTAATTGCAACAAATTAGAAAGAACCAATTGGACCAACTGGAATGTGAAGATTAACCATTCCATGAGACCGTTTGATTGTATTTCATCTGACAGCCAGGATTGTTTGGTGTGTGATAATTGGGTTCTTCAAATCAGAGAAGCTTTTAAATGTTTTTTCCACATTGCTTTGTTCTTCAGTGTATTTATATTCTCTCTAGTTTATATGTAAATTATTTAAAGCAAAACAAAATTAAAAACTAAGTAAATTCATCTCTACTGGCAAAAAATGCCATACAAACTGTTCTGGAGTCTAGAGCTCCCTGTTCACTGACATAACGCAAGGCCTTTCCTCGAGGGCAAAGGAAATAGATGTAAGGAAAAAAGACATAAAAAGCATTTGTTTTTTCTCTGCATTGATGTCTGCCCAGCTCAAAGAAGGAGTAAACAGGCTTCAGCTGTAATATCCATAAAGAATCAAAAAATGAGCCTGCCACAAATACAGTGATTAGAAAAACAGACACAGGGAGAAGAAATTTTCAGTGATATACTAAGCAAGCAGCACCAGACCTCAATGAGAAGCTGGTCAGAGAAAACCAGAAAATAACAGATGGTGAAAATTCCAGCGAGAGTTGTGGACTCATCTGCTATGGTGGAGAAAGCTAGGCAAATAAGAAATTAGCAAAAAGAAAAAAAAGTTCAGTTTCCTGTCTCAGTTGAGATGTCTATTTAAGAACACTGAGGGACATCCAGGAAGATATTTTTTGAAAGAAAGTCAAAATTTGGTCATGCCACTACTTACCTGAAACCAATCTAAACCAGTGACCTCAGGGCAACTGCCTCACACTTCCTACTGCCAGTCTCCCAAGTTAGCCAAGACTTCCTTTTCTGCTGTCTAGCCCTGCTCAGTTTTCATTGTCTTTTAGATTCCTTCTAGGATTTGATATTGTTTTCTGTAAAGTTGCTTTCATTCTCTCTTACTAGTAGTTATAGACTATTTTGTGTATTACTTTCAAGTTCATTTCATAGTTACTCATGTCATTACTTTTTGTATTTTTTTGCTACTAATAGCATGAAATGTGCATAGATTTTCTCAGCATCTTCCTAATGATACATGAAGAAACCTAATTTGTAATTTAAAGCATGTATAACTGTGCTTGAACAAAACTTGAATGCAATGAATCACTTGGGAAATACGATGAATGGCATTAACTGGAATTCTGGAATTACTTGTACCAAATTAAATAGGACTACATGCGCTACCTTAATGAACATTTGATACAATATAGGAAGGAGACATCTAACTTTCTATTTTTATTTCTTTCTGATTTCTGTTTCTCATCATTATACATTGTTTAATACTCTAAATTTCTTTTGAAGAAACATTTAACCTAAAACTCAGATCATCTTAGGAAAACCAGCAGTATAGGAATGGTTACTTCAGATGTTTCTCCTGTTCATAGAATAGCATGTACCAGAGAAGCACTTGCTTCCTGCCTTCTACCTAGAAAACTTCATCCATGTTTGATACTGAAGACTGCCTAGAATTCATAAACTAGATGATCACAACCTTGAGGAAAGAAAAAAAAAATTAGTGCAGAATGGAACAGTAGTAGCTAAAATCTGAGTTAGTGCATTTAAAATCTGTACAAAACATGATCCTCTCAGGCAGCATCACATAGGTATATTAGTTTCCATAATGGCAGTATCATCAATGGGTTGAACTTTAGTCTCAGGCATAAGAAAATACTTCTATTTTTTTTTTTTTTAGCAATATACCTTTGGCAATTCTTTTAGCAAAGGGATATTTTCCAAAGGAATGATCTCTTATTCATGAAAGCCACATGAGTGAAAAAACACCCCTTACAAATGTGTGGATGTGACACATAAGTCATGGTGTTAGCAGTGAACAAAGTGGTGCTGGGCTAATGGTTTGACATGATCATTATGAAGGTCTTTTCCAAGTTTAACAATTCTATGATTCTCTGGTCTGGATTATCAGAGAGAGCACGGCTCTCTATCATTCAGTGAAAGGCATTTGGTCTCCCTTTAAATGCGTCCAATCCATTTTATTCCATTCCTCGATGTATTTGAGACACAGTGGACATAAATAATTCTTGGTGCCACAGAACTTCTATTTACATTCATTCTAGACACCACAGAAAGTGTTTACAAAATAGGTTTATAGGGATATACAGTAATAGTGATCAGTCATTTCAGTATCTAAAGCGACCATTGTCTTCAGGACCATGGACAGGATCCTACTGAAGAATTCCTCCTTGGCACAGCGCAGGTTGTGCTTCACTGTAGGAACGGGATTTGGACCCAAATTTGGTTATGCTGTCTTTGCAATGTTATTTTGTGTCTTGAAGTCATTATAAGTAAAGGAGTCACATAGCACTGACAATTTGCAGGATTGCCTTCATCTTCAGTTTTACATTAAAAAATTTTAGTTTGGCATTAAAAAAATAAGAAGACTAGGTAGTAGAAAGTGTAGACTAGTAAGTGTAGAAATTGAAGAAATGTATTCATGAATATTTATTTATACTGTTGTCATTATTAGGGACTGTTTTATTTCTACAGAAGAATTATGTGTAACAAAGTGATATTTCCATGTGCCAGTGAAAATGCAATCAATTATTTAACTATTTAATTCCCACAAGAGCATTTTTTTTCATGGAAAGCTCTTTATGTTTATTTTTAGGCTAAGAAAAAATTACATCAGGCAGTTACAGTTCAGCTCCTTCTGACTAAATTTAATTAATTCCCAGCAATCAACTAGTTTTATTCTATGAGACTCCACCATCTGTGTATTTTGCAGATTGCACTCATGATCTTCAGAGCCCCCAGCATTAACTTTCTTTTTAAATTTTATTCCCACCAAATTTGATGCAATTGTTAGAGCTCCGGTCACAGATTGTCAAGGAAAAGGGGCTGAGAATATTTTTTAAAATACAGCCAGAGTTCATTGTCCAGATGTCTGCACCTTTATTTTGAGTTATGACATGTATTTAAGGAGAGCTGGGCTGGGAAATTGTGGGAATAAACTGCTTCACCTGCCCATGTGCATAAAGGAGCTTAATGGCTCTTTATTGCTAACCACAGGGAAAGACATTAGCAGTGCCTTTCACTCTCAAAGAGCTTTGATACAATCAGAAGCAAGCAAAAAGGTTTTGAAGTGCTCTGCATTGAAGGTTGTTGTTGTGTGGGAAGGTTTATGAACATAATGATATTTACAGCAACTTTGCAAAGGAATTGAAATTATGCTCATTATTTTCAAGTATAAGTATTTTTTCCCTGTATCTATGCATTTAAGATGAGTGTTTCTGCATAAACCAAAGTGCGACTACTGCATTGATTATCAGAGAGATGTAGGATCCTAAATTCTTCAGTGCACTTTGAAAATCCTGGTATCACTCAGCTGCACCCTCAATGTTTGGAATATATACACATACCTAGAAAGTTTTTTTGCATGCAGATATGGCTTCTGATGAACCAAAAGCAATTAAGAGAGCAAAAACAGAGATGCAAGTTTAGAGGGTGTTTGATTAGTTTCATATTAGCTCTGAACTTTGGGCATTCTTTTTTTCTAATTGCAGGATGAAGGGAAGTGCAGACCCCTGGAAGTAACAAAGCTGGAAGGAGCAGAAATTGGTGTCGACACAAGTCTGGGTAAACCATTTGTTTTTAAATGTATACCTCAAGCTGGAAACAGGATTTTCTACTTTTGTGCAACTTCCAATCAAGAAATGAAGAGGTAAGAAATCTTTCATTTTAATGGCTTCTGTTTTGTTACTCCAGTGTGGGAAGAAGGAGATTGCATCTTTGGAGGATGTTCACAATACCTACCTTGATCCTTAGGGAAAAAATTAAAAATCTATCAGCAATTTAAGGGAAGATAATGTTTCTATTTCTCAATTGCAGAAGCTTCAAAAATTATTTTTCAGTTTCATAGCTTTTTTTCTTTAAATAAAATCTTTAACATTCACATTTTGTTACCCCCCTGATTTCTTCATTTATCCTGAGAACAAAAACTTCACCCCTATTCTCATGCTTTCTCTCCCAATTTTATAGCAAATGGAAATGTAAGTTTTCCTGTGGATGTAAACTTGCTTATCAGTCTCTCTTCTGCCCAACAAGGAGAATAGTGCTAGTAATAAATACAATCCCATCTTCATCTCCTTTTCTGTCTTTCTGTCACATTTTCATTTTAGTATTTTAAAATGCAAATGTGCCACAAAAACATGTTGGTACTGATAAGAGGCCATGTATTTAGGTTTGACACAGAGAGAGAATTTAAAAATAATGTTTTGCATTTCCCAAAGATAACAGGTGACAAAACAAAGAGATTAAAATCACCCATAATATTTTAAAGGGTTTTTACATTTCCCACTAATTCATTGTCTACATTATAACAAACACAAGGAGAGTAATCATTTAGCCTGACAAGTTGAACTATATTTGAACTATATATTTTGATATGTAGATTCTCCTGTCCGCAATATTGCCTTTATTTATTACAAAGTGTTATACAGCAAGCTTTGTGACTTAAATTTTGGAGAGCCAGCAATGTTTATTTAGATTTAATCCATTTGTTTTCTGACTTAAAGCCTTAAATATGTCCTGAAAATTGTGCATCCCTTTAGATGCTGCATATGCCAACAAGAATTAGAAGAGGCAGTGAAGCATATTTGTTCTGATCTACCAAATTAATCTGTTCTCACTTTTTATCATATTACAGGTGGCTGGAGGCTATGGATAAAGCAGTGCATCCCATCCATCAGGTAATGCTGTGTTTAGGTGAGAAGCATGTGTACAGCAGATTGTGCAGAAGACTGAGAGAGAGATTAGCTGTGTTTGTACATGGTCAGATGCCGACAACAACATGGAAGCTGCACACTTTTGTTCTGTTGGACTGTGAACCACTCCCAATCTAAGAGTGGTTCATATACAGAATTATGACTCAGCTTATATGCTTTGCTGGGATATGGTGGAATTAATCAAAATACTTCCTCTCCAGATATGAGCAGCTTTAGGCTGGTTTGGAAACATAACATGAAATTATTGTAGCAGACAGAAAGCAAGGCCTTGTGTTAAGCCTTATGTAATACTGTTCGGTGTAAAAGAAGAAAAGGGCCATATCTTCCTAAGGATTCCCCACATTTCTGCCTTGATTGCAGGCAACCCACTTTTTCCAACAGAATATTGGGTGACAATGAGACATGATTGCTGAGTTCTTATTTTCTGTGTTTTCAGAGATAAAGAAAGATAAGTATGTTGATAAAAATTGACTTAACCATCTCTTTACACTCTTATGTTCTTTGCTGGCCCCTCTGGCTGGGAAAAATACAGTCATAATTGATCTTGAGCTGCTACATGGAGACGTTACTCAGCCCAGCATAATTCAGTATCAATGGTCTCTGGCTTACGCCTGAAATGGGAATTGAAAAGCTAATTTTAGTATTTCCAGACTTTGAACCATAGAGGTCAAAGACATTTTAGTCTGCCCTTTCCTGGCCCCATGAGTCCTACTCTCCTGCTATAGACAAACCACCTTTATAAAAATATGAAAATTGCAAGGTACAAATTAAAAGCTGCATTAATGAGTGAAAAAAAAAAATTATATGAGTGATTTCTTCACCAGTATTTCATGCTAGGTTTAAAAACAGTGAACGGTGTTTCTTGATGCTTTAATACCTTTTGATGTAAAATTGATTGAACATATATTTCTTTTGGCTTAACTTTCACATGAGGTTTTAAGTGCGAAACCAAACTTGTTTCCAAGTATATTCTTCCTGAGCATTTCTCAATATGAAGGAATCCACACACTTGAAAACAGCAAAAACAGATCACATAATTGAAAGTGTGTATCCGAACCTAAAGAAACATTAAAACAACCTGAGCCAAAAAGGATAATAAAGGCTTACACAGACAAAACACATCAAAAGAGTCAATCTTTAGTGTAGCATGCATAAAACTGTTAGATAAAATTTCCAACATTGGACATACAGAAAGATCACTCATGCATTCATCCATTAACAACACAGTAAAAAAAAAAGGGAAGTTCTGGGAAGGGAAGTTCTGGGAAGTTCTGGGAAGTTCTGGGAAGGGAAGGGAAGGGAAGGGAAGGGAAGGGAAGGGAAGGGAAACATTTAGTGTGTGGTAGTGCTTCCATCCAAGTGTGAATGCAGTATCCCACTGACAGACACCACGACATTTTCTTTGAAACCCAAAGAGCAGATGGTGAGTTTTCTCTTGCCAGATTATATAAAGACTACTGAGGTCAAGTAATCAACATGACAAATTTTTAAAAAAAACTTCATACAGCTGTGAAGTAGACCTGTTTGTACCTAAAAGACATGTACTGAAAAATAAAATAGGTGCAGAAAAGGCAAATCATTATTTTAAGAAGAAACTAGACATTTGGATATTTTCTATCACATACACAGTAATTTCATTTTCAGCATTGAATTTTGTTGTTACAACCCCAGTAGCAGCTCAGCCCTACACAGCTGCCCACTCACTAGCTCCTAGTGTGAGGGGGGAAAGAATCAGAAGACTAAAAGTGAGAAGACTAGTGGGTTGAGATAAGGGCATTTTAAGAGGTGAAGCAAAACCCACACACAGAGGTAGAGCAAACCAAGGGATTCATTCATCCCTTCCCGTGGCTGGACAGGTATTCAGCCATCCCCAGGAGAGTAGGGCCTCATCACATGTAATGGGTATTGCCAGCTGGGGGCTATGTACAAATCACAAATGGGACGGGGCTGCTGTGGAACGTGCCTTGAGCCGTTTTATTTTTCAGCATCAGTCTCATTACATGATTATGACAATGGGAAGATGCTCACATCCTAGGCAGCAGGCAAAGAACTTAATGTTACAACCTACTTTATAAGTTTCTTGACCAATCACACAAAGCAAAAGCATATTGACAGTAGTTCTATCCAACCACTATAAGCACACGTACCTTTGGTTAAAACAATGCTTGCTTATTTTGAATCTTGTAAGCCTTAAAACACAATGCACAGAGCTCCATTATTAAGCTTTAACCTTCCTAATATCTTGCTAGATAAACTTTTCTGTAGCTTAGAGAGTTATTCTAGACAAGCGTTAATACACAGACCATTGTTCTATTTGTCCTTGCTTTTCTACATTTCACATAATTTTTCTGCTGACCTATCTCATGGCTGCTGCTTCGCTCTAATCACAGTTCTGCTGTCTCTAAGGCTTGCCTTTTGCAGCTTCCCAAAACCCTCTGATTTTGTGGATTCCCACAATACGTACTCAGGAAGTGAAACACCACCACTCCAAACTTCCCCCCGCTTCCATCTTCTTCCCCAAGTTTCATATGCTGATCATGTTGTATGTTCTGGGATATCCTTGTGGTTGCTTAAGGTCACCTTCCTAGCTGAGTTCCCTCCCAACTCCTTGTGCATCCCCAGCCTCCTTACTAGTGGGGTGAAGGGCAGAAAGCCCTTGGATCAGTTCAAGCCCTCCTCAGCGATAACTAAAACATCCCTGTGTTGTCAACACTGTTTTCAGCCCAAAACCCAAACACAGCCCCATACTAGCTACGGTGAAGAAAATCAACTCTATTCCAGCCAGAGTCAGCACAACTTTTCAGAAGATTTTCACAACAAAAACTAATTTCTTAGAAGACTAGAGCTTGTGTCTTTTCAATACTGGCATGTCCTCCTTAATTTTTTACCAGAACATTTCATTACATAACTTACTTTACAGAACCATGTGTGGGTAGATGTCACACTGCATAACACTACACTCCCACCATTGGCTATTAAGAATCCCGAGTGCCTGGGGCTTCTCCACCAGCTGGACAGGAGCAAAGATGTCTGGATTCAGCACTACTGCATTCTGAAGGATGGTTGTTTGTACTTTTATGCCACTCTCCGGTCTACACCTGCCCAAGGTAGGGATGGCTGCTAGATTTTAATTTATTATTGAAGTAGAAATGTTTCACTTCAGTTTCCAAGTAGAACTTTTACCATCAATGGGAGTTTCTTATCAGGAAATTCATGCTGTTCCATGAAGGTGAATGACTCAGTCTCTCTTTATTCACTAGCCACCTAATTCCTGACCCTAGTATTTTTTCCTCCCACATTTTTATTTTTTTCTTTCTGAAATTGAATTAATTCTGCACACATTATCTTAGGAGCAGTTATCAGAAACAAGATTCACCCTTCTAAAGCACTTTATGATGGGTTGAGGCAGTCCCACTGATGGTAGTCTCCTGAAAGCTGTCAAATCCTGCATGTTAGGAAGTATCCACAGATATCATGAACTCTGACTGGTTGCCCTGAAACTACCAGGTTTTCACATGACCTTGTTAAAGCTATTCCATCCCTCAATTTGCAAAAGTTTCCTACTGCTGGAGAGCCTGTGGTCCGGGATTCGGCCACAGTCATTTGCAGCTAAAGCTGCCATCTCTCCTGCCACAGCAGGAGAGGGTGACTGCCTGCTCTCAAAGCAGCAAATAATGCTACTGGGGTCAATTGCAAGCAGAGCTTACTTCACACACAGAGGGGGGATGGCTGAGGACCTATAAGTGCTTCCTCCCTGTGCTAAGGGAGCTGGCAGTCAGAAGAACCAGAAAGAAAATACTTTTCTTTTTACTTGCTAGCCAGTCTTCAGACCAAAAGGGAAAAACTTTTCTTAGCACTTATGCTATTATGATCAGGCAGAAGGTACTCCACTTTCTGTCATTTGCATAACTCTCTTCTGTGGAGACCCTGGGGGGCATTCCCTGGTCTAGGGAGACACAAGAAGCTTCCATCAAAAAGCTCTGTTAGACTCCATTGGCTCCTTCCCCTATTCCTACGTTCCTGAGCCACATCTATTCCCTATTCCCTGATTGACCCTCATCTTTGTACTGCCCCAAGACCAGGCTCAGCCCCCAGGCCCGTGTAGTTTGGTGCTGGAACCTGAACATCTCACAACATGGCTGAATAAAACATCTGTGGATATTATGCAAAAGCCTTTTCTGCTTCCTTACCCTGGACTATGCTAGCAGCAATTCAGACTGCTACACTCTTCATCTGCCCAAGGTCATACTTACAAATTGACTAAGGATTTCCTCTTTACATTAAACCAAAGCTAAGGTTTCCACAGAGAACAACAATGAATTATCAGAAATCCAGAAATTAGGTTTTATGCATTTATGACCCTGAAGCTTATGTTCCTACTGCCAAATATTTTCTTTTGGTGTTTAAATATCCTACCACATAAAAATTCTTCTATGTGGGAGTATTTTTTTCTTGTTAGTGCATTTCTTTTCCATTTTCACCACATATTCTCATTCTGTTACATCATTCTCAATGCTAGAACATTAATTTGGTGCTGTTGTGCCTAAATATGAGACTCCCCAAAAATAAAGACTGTTTTCTGCAGGTCTTTCTGGCTATTTACCATGTATGTATAAAGTGAACTTACACCTTAAGTTGCACTGAAGTAAAGTCTGAAGCAAAAAAATTAAATAAAAAGATCAAAGCAAAAAACAGTTAAAATGAAAATGCCCAGAAGATCAAGTTCTGTCTAATGCGTCTCCTTCACAGCTGGGTAATGTGGCCTGCAATGACACCTCAGTTACTAATGGCATCAGCAGTAACCAAAACTGATTTTAGGCACGTTGTTTTTCATGTTGAAATTCATATCCCTTTAGTTTTTAAAGGAATAAGAAAGAAAGTATCAGTGACAAGAGCCTCCCTTCCAAAGAACTTTACAGTAGCTAGAGGCAGCCTCATTAATGGCAGCCAAAAACTAGGAAAAATATTTCGCCATATCCTGTTTAATCAAAAGCTAAATAAATCTTTATTGCTCATCATTTGATAGATAAAAAGCCTGTTTAACATTGTTGAGATAATTTTCATAAAAGAAACAGAACTTTCAGATTTTTAAATATTAAGTATATAAAACTCTGTGAAGACACCAATCTGAAAATCCAGTTTGCCAGATTTGTTGGTGTGCTTGTAATTGGCAGTAATTCTATTAATGGTATCTGCAATGTACATAATGCATACTATTTTATTCTATCCAGGTGGCCTTTACCTGCAGGGCTATATTGTAAGTGAGCAGTCCCTGGGCTCCAAGAGATCTGTCATTGAACTCAAACCTCCATCCGAAGAATTTAAAACTTTTTACTTATGTGCAGAGAATGTAAATGAAAACAAAAGGTAAACCAAATATTTTTAATTTCTCTTTTTTTTCCCAGTTTATTTACCAGACTTTAGGAGACCAGGAACTCTGTAACTTGGGAAGATCTAGTGACAGCTTTGCAGTCTGTTTTTACTTTAGCAGTAGCCTTAGTCAAACTGCAGTAAAACATATCCTGTAACAGGTGAGTCATCAGTTCTGTTCTTTTCAGTGCTGGAACAACAGCAAGGCTGGCTTGCAGAAGTTTGGAAATAAACCTGGATAAGGTGTTTTTCACAATTATGTGTGGGTGATTATACTGAACACAAAAGCTATGGCACTTCTCATTAGTGAAAGTAGAGTGTATATCCTTCTCATTCCCAAGAATTATTGACTTTGATCAATGACCATTGTAATTTAATTAATTTAAGCAAATTGGGCAATGGAAACACATTCTGAAGGTAAATTCCCTCACCATAATCCAGTCAAATTCCAGCATCTGTAGGAGTTTTTACCTAAAGCCTATTAATTACACTACCTAGGCTTTAACTTAATGAATAGAAGACAAAGCTTTTCAAGCTTTTCAGTATGCTGGAAAATTGCTGTTAAGCTATATTGTTTTTGTAGCCAACTCCTCCACCTTCTGCATCTCTCCAATCCACTGATTATGAGTACACATAGTAACAGAATTGGTCTCAAAGGGCAGAGAAATGTATACATAACACTTGATCAGGGACAATTGTTGGTCTTTCATTTCTTCTAGGTGGATTACAGCTTTGAAAGCTTCGATTAATAAATGGTTACCCCTACACCAGGCAATCCAAGATTTCATGAACAGACCACTGGAGGAGACAAGGATGTGAGAAGAAAGCTCAGGTTTTCTCCTGTTTCTGTTCTGCATTTAAAATTCCATACTATATCTTCTGAGTCATCTCAAGAGATATTCTAGCAGCAGCAAATCTTTAGCATTGCTACACATTCAGAACTTTTGGAAGCATTAAAAAATAAATGCAAAGCAATGTTGCCTTCTTTGTCACTGTATTTTGTATTTCTACTTCAACTCAGACCACACAAAGAGTCTACTTTACAACTGTGATGTGACATACATTCCGCATACATTTTGTACTCCCTGCTCGGGTTTTTTTTTTGTGGTTTGTTGGTTTTTTTGGGGTTTTGGTGGATTTTTTGCAAATGCAGTCTTTGCAAAGTGTTCTGTTTTTTCATCCAGATAATTTATATGTAGGTTTACCTATAAGTTTCTAGGTGTTGTGATGCTTGAGACCAGCTGGGTTTACTGAAGGGTTAGCAGCTATATACTATTACATGGAATAAATCTGTACATTTTTGTTGTACTATTGCACATTCTGTCTTAATTTTATGATGATTTTGATTTGGTCATCTGCCATCACATCACAGCACATTTGTGAACAGAAATCAATTCAAGAGTCAAATTATTTTTTTCCTCCAAAGCTAGCAGTAAAAGACAGCAGTATAACTCTTCCTATGAATAAATCTGGATATTCAATTTCCAAGCTTATCAAAACACTAATTCAAGTAAAATTACAAAGGTTAGTTCAAAGATGGACCCAATATAAACAAAAAAAATTGCCCATCTGTAAAATTCTAATTATAAAAGCTGTGATAGTTGCTTTTTGTATGATCCTTATACCTTAAGATTGTTTGAACACACTAGAAACTCAGCTACTCACTTGCTGGTACCATTAGCCTGGAAAATATCAATTACAATGCAGAAAAAAGTTTTAAAAAAGCAAGTGATGCTCCCCCAGCCACTAGAAATGTATTTTTTAGGAGACAGATTCATTAGCTTTACATGCTTGAAGCAATAGTACTTCAAAGAATGCTGATAATCTGTTCCAATTATTTGCTACAGTGATTTATTTCAGAAATAAGAGTGGTTAGTTAAACAGTGTAAGAAATTTTTTGAAAACAGGCACCCAACCCTAGATATGTTACCATGTTTGCTTTGTATAAATCTGCATTCTGAGGTAAAATGCACAACTATATTTGAAAAAAAGCTGTCATCACAGCCGTATTCTACATTCTACAGTATTTTTAAAAAATTTTGTTCAGAAATGCAATTTGCATTTCTGCTACAACTCCAAGAATAAATAATGAAATAGCTATGAATTACTTCTTTTTCTTACTCATTTTCACAATGAAGAAAATAACACTTATGGGTCAAGTACAAATGCTGTTTACTTGAGACGAATTACTTTCCCTGGGGAACAGCTATCCAATTCAGAGTGACAGTTCAGAGCTAGGAAGCAGAAAAGCAAACAAAAAAACTAATATATAAAACAAATGCAAACAAAATGAAACACAAGAAATGTATTTTCTGTTAGAAACAGTAGCGAGTCCTGAGAAGAGCAATGTAACTGTAGAAGGGTATGGAGTAGAAATCCTGTAAGAAGCAACTGAGGGAGTTGGGGGTGTTTAGCCTGGAGAAAAGGATGGTTAGGGGGACCTTAATGAGTCTGTGATTTAAAAAATTCAGTGTAGTGAGTGAACTTAGGATTTCTCAAATGACCATAAAGTTTGAAAAATTATTGAAAGAGAAAACCAAAACTATCAAGCTTTAGAACATTTAGTTTTTAACCCAGGGAATTTGAGGAGGAGCCAATGCACGCTTTCTACATTTCTTTGAGTCAAAGCTTGTTCCTTTCTGTCTGCTTGACAAGAGATCAGATTAGCCCATGACTGTTGTTTTTTTCCTAGGAAGTAGCTACAGACCCCAGAGACTTGGACTGCCATGCACTCCTTCTTGTACCAATTCATCTCCTTTTCTTGGTAGAAGAACCAAAGGCATTCTGAAAAGTATACTGAAGTTTTTCTCAACATGTATCATGAAAATTATCACCAGAGAAATTTGAAAATTCTCAAGCTTAGTGACCATACGTGATTTTACTGTGATTTTCACCAGGTATTCACACCACTTTTTGGGCAATATTTCTAGCATGAATTATAGCTCACTTAAGCTTGGCTTACATATGAACTACAGGACAAATGTTAGTCATGGTCATCAAGTCAGCCATGCCTTTTAAAAAAAACTAAAGTGGGAGGTTACTTCTGCATCCTTTCCATAACACAACCAGATTTTATTTATTATAATGAGACATCTAATACATGCATGTAGCTAGTGAATAGCCCTTCCCAAGAATGTCTCTTTAAGGTAGGAAAGAGAATAGCAAAAGAGTACCCAGTGTGCTCACTTTACCTTTCACTAGCCTAAACATTTAATCCAAATACATTTCATATCAGAGGATATGTTATTACCATGCTCCAAGTACAAACAGAAATAATGAAGAAGTTATGGGTAAGTTGAAGAAAGTAAAAAAACACTAAAACCTGGATCTCTTAGGCAGGGAAAAGCTGAGGGATTGGATGAGGTGGTTTGATGGAGAAATTGCAGCAGTTCAATAGCAAAAAAGACCTTTCCACTTATTCGAGGGCAAACATGGTACCTATAGCCAGAACTAAAGTTACTGGATGGCATGTGTTGGAATGTAGAATTAATTTCTAATTCTAACAGCTTTGATGTTTATTACACATGTAACCTTCAACATGCATGATTTCAGTACTATGCAGTCTGTGTTTAATTATTTGAGATCTTTATAGTGGTAAGTTTTAAGGCCAAATAAATAAACAATGTGCCTTTATTGACAAAGTAGGGTAAATCCATAAGTAGAACTGTCACATCCATTCCCTTCCTGGGTAACTGCACCACAGCATAAAGCACACTGCAATGTGCACATTTTACCAGAAAAAAATACTTTTTCTCTAGTTTTTACAACATAATGCATGCGGTCTGAGGGCTGAAATATGAAATTTGCAAATATGAAATCTACAAAATACTCCAAATCCAATCCTGACAGTCAAATATATGGTTTCATTCCTCTGTCTGTTTAAAATTAAACATGTGATTACAAGTTAGGAGCATGTCTGTGGTGCTTAGCACTTAAAAGTCCCATATCTGTGGTTGCTGTTTACATCCCGTTGATTACATCTGTGACTTTAATCCACACTAGGCTAGAGCACAGTTAATTTGGAGTTAAAACAAATAATAAAAATGTTTGGGTTTAAAATGGGTTAGAAAGTATCCTGGATGCAAACAAATAAAATAGTTTCCTCATTATTTGATCTGTAGTTCATAAAAGATATTTTAAGAAATTTTCATGTTTAGTAGTTTTTCAGCGTCAAAGCTCACCATTTTCTTATATATATAGCAATTATCTTGTAATAAATATTTTATCACCTTAATAACACTAAAACCATAAACAAAAGTGCTTGGTTGTTTAAAGAAACCAAAAATCTGAAACACTTTCAGTAATACCTATAGCACAAACAGAACACATGTGAACTTGTGAACTTAAAAAGCATCAGTATTTTGTTAATAAAAAATGCCCATACACTGGTCTTGCTCTGCAAGTCGCAGTTTGTTATTTATGCAGTCTACCTCCAGTTGCGGCAATAAATGCCAAAAAATGCTGAGCTGTTTTTACCCCCACGTTTGTTATCATCCTCACCTGAGGGACAGATACACATTAAAATGATACATTTTTTGAGCCATAAGAATTGTGCAATAATTCCTCATTTTCTCTAATGAAAATGGAAGAGTTTAAATTACTACTGACAGCTTTACCTATATATGAAAAAATGATATAGAACAGTGAGAAAAATGTTGGAGAACAGTGAGAAAACTCTGATCACAGCAAAAACCCTGCCTCCATCCTGGGAAAATGAAGTCGTTTTAGGCCTTCCCACTGAACTGAGAAAGAAATACACTCCTTGTCTGAAAGAACATGAACACTAATTTTTCCAGTCTTCAAGTTATTTCAGTATGTCAACAGAATTCTATTGTCTTAATACTTACAATGCTTTAAATGGAAACTCAAGAAAGTAGATTTGAAATCTTTTTGAAGAACCAGGAAGAGAAAGCCTGTGAAAATTAGACACATCTTAGATAATACAATTGAAGAAACAAAACAAAACAAAACAAAAAGACCAAAAAAAATCCAAACCAACCAACCAGAAAAAAAAGAAATAAAAAACCATAATAAAACCCCACCAGTGGTATATATTTTTCTGTGAGACAGAGAATTCTGAGTTTGCCACCAAAGAAATAATAATCAATCCAAATCCAGATTTCTCCAAAGGCCATGGAAGTTTGGATTTAAAACTTTAGTTAAAGTTCTCCTTTGGAATTTAAGTTTTAGTTCCCTTCTGAGCTTTTGTTGCAATTCTTTCAAAATAAGTGAAACTGAGGTGAGTTACTTCACTGCTGTCTTAGGGGTCAGGAAAGATGTGCAGTCACTGTATTGTCAGTATCCTGTTTAAGGCTCATTTGTTTGCAAAGAAGGCTTCATAATTAGTATGAGGTATATTTACTTTCAAGGTTTTCTTTCCACTACCAGGAACAAGAGTGAACACAAATGTGTAGAAACCAAAATGCTTCCACTAACAGAGTATGATATTGTACTGAGAAGAAATGGGGGTGTGGTCTTGAAGCATGGTTTATTCAGACGGTTTTCTGCCCTCCGAATTGAGCTATTTTTCTGCTCTGTTCAGCAGAAAATATGTACAAGGTTCTGCAGTAGGAAAGCCACAGAGGGTCACCAAGGCATTCTTCAAAGAGATGAGTTATTTAGCTAGAAATATTTAGCTTTGAATCCACAAAAATATTTTTGCGAAGTGCATAACTCCCTTTTGTAGCAGGTTTTTGAAGGATAAAGGCACTGGCGTTAGTTTTTTTACCTTCTTTCTCCCAGACTCTGATACCAGAACTACTAACCACTAGCAGCTGAAAGTCATTTTAGTGGGAAATTATTTTTAATTTTTCACAGTTAATCCACTTTTCAAACACAGCAATTATGAGATACATAGTAGCAAAAGCTGAAACACTGCATCACTCTGGGACAGAAATCTGACTAATACCCAGACTTTGCTGATTCGTGAGCGCATGACCAT